AGCTCCGCGACGCCGGAGTCGTTGAAGTGAGGCTTCAGCGCGCAACGTCCACGCCGGCGAAGCAGTTAGCCGGCGGTCGGTGCCGGTGGCGGCGGCGAGCGGGCGGCGGCGGCGGCGCGGCGGCGGCCGGCGGGGCTGGGCGGGCATCAGTCGGCGCAGTTCCGGAGTTGTTTATTTACCTCCTAACCTCCCGCCCCTACCCCCTCTCGCCCCGCGCATCAGGACGAGCCTGAGACAAATCAAGACGCGCTGTCTGATCCGCGACGATCTCGGCTCCTTACCTTGCCGGTCAAATGATGTCTACGGATAACTGCTTACTCTCTCCGGGCGTCTCCGCGGCCAAGGCCCACCACGCCACGCCACACTTTCCTTCCCCACGCCACGCCCTCGCCTACACGCCACACCATGCCGACTTCACGCCACGTCCGACGCCCACTCCTACTGCCTACGATACGCCATCGTCACCCCGCATCGTAATTGCCGACTCGCGCTACAACATGCAGAGCCGTAGCGCACCTCCGATCTCAGCACTGCGAGTGGTTGGTGTGGAGCTTCACTATAACCTCTTGGCCTGCGTCTTCTCTGCCCCGCAGGAATGCCCAGTTCCCCGGGCTAGGAAGAAGTGGACCCAAGCGGAAAATAGAGTTTTGCATGGCTATCGCTGAAGATGTCGCTGATATGTATCGTCTGCACACGACATCGCGTGACCATTTGTTCGATTTGAATACCGCGCCGACCGTTCATCCGGTGCTTTTGACGCACCCCAGTCGGATCGAGTTCTGTTCTTCACAGCCATGACTTCGCTGAACTAGAGTCGGAAAGAGTTACATTGATATAGTCTGTTCGCGGAGAGTATGTTCTCTGCTTCCAGCTCCTCACGCACTATCACTCCACAATGACCCATTATCTCACCATAATTTACTTCAGACGATGATTTCTATCTCTCTACTTGCCTTTCTCTTATCTCCTTCTGTCACTCTTCGTCGACTGAACTCCTCTCCCGTCATCGGCGCCGCCTCTTCGCCCTGAGGAGGGCCCGCCGTGAGTTGGCGTGTCCGGCCCCAACTTCCGCGCTGCAGCCGCTCCCGAAGTTCCACCTGCGACGTTGTTTGCGTACGCGCGCCGGCCGCTCGCCGCATCCGCGCTGGCGCCGCCGGGCCTCGAAGGCGTCGGGAATCCCGCGCCATTGAAATGCGCCAGGGCGGCCGCGCCGCCGAAGACTCTTCAAAGCACCTTTGGCCCCCGGGCAGAGTGGGCTACAATAGCTCTTCAATCGAATTGAAACTCACAATGAGTGGTAGTATTAATTGATTTCGGTCACGTCAACTACTTAGTCTTTTAAGTGCAGTGCCGGGAGGTGGTAGGTGATCCATTGCATACGTACCCGTCAGATGATTGATTGGTTACTAGTGATTCCGGGCGCGTCAACTGCTTAAATCGTTAGTTTCGTGAGTGTTAGGCACTTTTTTGTTCGAGACATGGCTGTGATCTTTCCCAGCTAGGTGGAGAGATCCGGAGCCGACCTACAATATGCTAGCGGGTATTTTCTCAACTAGATATCTCTCACCAGCGGGGCACCGCGCAGCCGAGAACAAGCTCTAAGCTCCCGGTCAAAAGCGCTGCAGTGACATCAGTTAATGCTCTGAGCCACCTCTCCCGACCTGCAGACTCTTCAAAACATATTTAGCCCCCGGACAGAGTCGGTCACTACAGCTCTTCAATCGAATTGAAACTCACAATGAGTGTTAGTATTAATTTTTTCCGGGCACGTCAACTACGTAGGTCATTATTCCTTAAACTATTGTGCCAGGAGATCCTCTTCCGCTGAGAAACATTGTCGACAATCGGTGAAAGAGCGAAAAACTAGCCGTCAGAGCGGCTTGAATGTTCCTCAGGGCAAAATATTGAATTTGACCAAGCTATCTAACTAATGTTCAAAATTCTGTAGTTGCTCTGCCTCTAAAATACATTCATACCAACCATCGATGAGTGCAAACAACTGCGAAATGTTATCTGCTGAACGCCGTCTCTAATATACCCGTTTTCTTGTTTTTTAAAAAAAATTTTCAATACAAAAATAGTGAATGTGCATGTTAAATTTCGATTTAAAATTTATCATGTACAACAAAAATAAAATTGACGGTTTTCTATTCCTGACAGTTTTCTCATTTCTTCTGCATACAAAAGAACTGTTTTCAGAAGTGCAGAAAGCATCTTTATTACGTTTGACACACTGGATTATTATTTAACCCCTAGCATCTGGAACCAGTGTACCACTCTTCCTGCAGGATGTTTGTATGAATGTTTAATTGAAATAGAATTTTTGGGGTTAAAGTAAATAAACTTGTGAATGAATAAATGTAGAGCAACTGGACATAGAAGTACATAGAGTATTTGTTTATTTTATATAAACATGTGTAAACTATATTTACATAATTATGTACACACGTTTCAATTAAGTATCACAATGTATAAAATTGAACTATAGAAAATAAGCGAGTAGTAAATATTTCCAGAAGCGAGAAACTATTAAGCCAACAGTACGTAAAAATGTAAATGTGCAATCTTTTGAAAAGCAATTCTCATCGAAAATGATAAAAGGTTTCTTTTTAGTCTCTGAACATTAATTGAAGCCTCACAACCATACTCGTACTCACCCGCCCTCTCTTCCTACCCATGAAGTTTTCTTTACTGTTTATTGCAAATAAATTAAATGAAGGCTAAATTTTCTTCTTTTCTTTTGGGCTCCGAGGAACCTTTCCTAATTCGCACTTAATGCTCAATACAGAAATCCTCCGTCTCTCATACTCCCCCGAAAGTCGGGGTAAGTAGCAGGAGAGAGCCAGAAAAACAGCACGAAGAGCGAGAGAATTTTTTATTGCACTTTCTATATTGGGCAATGAAATGAACTTCGCGGGTCGGTGTAGAAAAGTCAATATTAACCCTGCAGTAGTCGATTGCCTCGCCGTGCCGGCACTAAACGAAAATGAGTCCGATGAAGTAACATTTTAAGCACGTACCTCGCCTAGTGGAACTTTCTGTACCGCCCTTGATTAAACATAAATGGTAAACTCGGAATATCTGCTTTCACTGCCGGTAATAGAAAGGGTTTGCAATGTGCCGGGACCTTTTCCCAAAGATCATTCAGACCATAGAAATGCGACAAATCATTTGCTTTCTACTTTATCTTGTAAAATGACGGAAATTCGATAGATAGTAATAGAGCTACTTATTTTTGTTCGTAAATCAATATTAAATTCTTTAGCAATAAGTGATTCTTAATAAATTTGATATTTCTGATATAATGTAAAAATTGTAATCAAAATGACGATGACCTCATGAAATCATATATTTTATCAGTATTACATCAACAGTTTAACATGATACATACCTCATCTTTATCTGTGTACTGGGAAACATTGTTCTGTTTGCTGTCAAGTCCTTGGGTTCCTTGCCGTCCGTATCACGAGGGATTTCACATTTTTTCCTGAAAAGAAAAACTCTTATTATAATAGATGAAAAGTGCTTCAAACAAACAACATATAAGACACAAACATGACAATAGCAATCCTTTTGGCGTGTCATTTATAATATCGTATTATTACAAGTACATGACACCATTTTGGAATGTGTGGTGATCTCTGGTGTTACTGTAACACAAACTAAAGGCAGATAACTTATTTCTCATACACAATATCTCTTCATACGCAATATGTAGTCGTAGGATATACATCACTGTTTCCTATTGATATCAGTAGGAATTTCACACTTATCTTATAGAGTTTGAAATTACTCATGATTGAAATGATAAGAGTAATATAAAGGTATGAAGTAACTAATAAGAAACCAGAAAAAGGAATTTACATTTTAATTTTCAGATGAATTATACAGACTGTATTTTTATGCAATTGGTTACGACAAAAACAATTATCACTTATGGTAAATAGCAAATCACTACACTGCTAACAACTTCAACCTACGAGATAAGGCTAATGGAACTTGACAGTGTCTTTCTTCCAAACATAACTGCCGTTTGTCAGCCGGTAATTCTGGTAAATTGTGTTGAGTCTTCGTCTAACTACTCTTTACAAAGTAGAATTCCGGCTCCCAGCCCATCGTTCGGATGACTAACTGCAGCCCTCCTGCACCTCCCCCTTTGATCCAAACACGCGGGTATCGCCGAGAAACTTAAGAAATTGAACGGGCTTTTCTAAACCTCTACCAGCGCTACAACCGCCGTCCTAGTCCTCCCCGCTCCCATCGGGAAGCTGGGAGGCGACGCGACAAAAAACGATTGAATGCCATTAACGTTGAAAAGCGCCATCGCCGCCACCGCCGCCTCCACCGCCGCGCACTCTGCTCGGGAGCGCACAGGCGGCACGGGCGCTTCGGCGAGAACCCTATCCCGGCCACTTAGCAAACACATAAATTCCTCGGTTAGACCCTTGTGTCAATACGGCGCATTAGCGCCATCTGCAAGTCTTCATCGTCCACATATTGGTGGAGCTCCTTATGCACAGTTAGCGCGGCAGCCCCGCGCGCAGTCGGCGGCAAGCGGAGCGGAGCGGGGCGGAGCGGGGCGGAGCGGGATGGGACGACGGGCGGGGCGGAGCGACGAGCGCCATGTGTAGCAAACGCGGCTGTGAAGCGGGGAGATGGAGGACACGCGGAAGAGCGGGGTCGAACAGGGGCGTGGCGAGGGGGGCGTGGTAGGGTAAGGGCTGCGACTGGAGTGCCCTCATCACAGTGCGCCGAACCTGCAGGAATAGTGTCGGTGTTATATTGAACCATTCGATTTTAATGGTTAGGATTTTTTTAAAAATGTTCCTGAACGTCTGGATTTTGTTTTCAGTGTGGTATTGTATCACTTAAAAACTGTTCAAGATGTTGAGATTGTAATTTTGTAAAGCGAGATGCGATGCACCCTCGCACCCTCGCATGGGTCGAACTGAGAAGTAAATCGCTTGAGGAGGGCGATGCGAGACTTCCGACGTACATTCGCACAGCGGGGCGATTCCTTTGAAATGACTTTGAGTGCCAACTATGAACGAGGGCTTCCACGACTCACATTTATGATCGCTTGGCTGACCAGGAGACACATAGTCCTGATCAGCGTTGCCAACGGTTAGACTGATCCTCATCAGGGGCTAAGGCTTTGCAACAATATTTACCTGAGTATATTGCGCTTGAATTTGATGGAATGTTCCTTATAAAAATAAATGCGAAGTAGTTGACAAAAAGTCTGTAATATTCGTTATGTAATAAGAAGTATATTTTGCGTACGCTGAAAGAACTTCCAATGCCTAGAATTTAGAAACATTCACCTTTCAAAATTCGATGTGATTCGACACTACCTTATATATTCGAGTTTAAGAACTGATCGTCCCAGGTTTTCGGAGTTCGACTAGATCACATATGTTTGCAGAGTTTATTAGAACGTACACCTCACAAGAGTGCTGGCCGCACTCTTTTCATCAGGAAGATATGTAGTAAATGCGGGAATTTAGGTTAAGAGGTGTGCGTCGCAAAGATGTTAAGTGGAAGTTTACTCTTGCTTTTTTCTGCCTCTTTGTTATTGCTATTATAATGCGCTAGGCTATTCTGATTTACGTTGATATTTATGCATCTGTGTTAAAGAGGGCTTCACGTATGAAAATGTCATAATAATAGTAAGTATTGTATATTATTATATTGCGTTGCTGGGGTAGAATGTTTAACGCTAGTTTGAATACGCTTGTGAATAGATGCAGTCTTGTATGTATGTGTGGATTAATAGGTATTTGTATGTAAGTTTGTGTAGTATCCGTGAGTACGTTTATTTAAGTACACGTGCGTCCATATGTATTTGCATTTATATGTATGTTATATATGTAAACGCCATCTGCATGTGCTGGGTATGGGGTCAAAAGATAATTTATTGTATATTTTTATTTTTAATTTTTTATTATAGAATAAAGTTTCTATCGATTTACCAATCAATCCATCTACTACAATTATAATGTATTATTGTACATTGCTCCATGTTGTTATGCAATAGAATTTCCACATATTGAACGCATCGTCAGGATGAACT